TCTTCAGGACATCTCTCTCTTGTTCAGTTTTTTCAAGCCGAGCCAGTACCTCGGTATTCTTCATGGCGAGAAGGTCGTTTTCTTTATTAGCCACCTCCAAGCTATCAGAAAACTTACGAGCCCTGGCGTTCCCCATCTCCACCTGCTTCTGCATAGCCATCATTCCGAACAATGTCTGCATAGGTGTACATTAAGAACGGTTAAGCCAATAGTCAGGTCGGGCGAAGGCAAGACCAAATAATATGAGAGAATTCATGAGTTGGAAAATAAAAGTCACCTCCATAGCAGATTGGGGGAAGCGGCTGAACACATCCTTCTGGGATAGGCCCTTCGCCGCCTCAAGGTCTTTCGGAGTCCACATGCTCCTATAGTACGCCATGGCGGTCTGGCCATCCTTCAGCATGGTCTCGTTCGGTTTCACGAACGTCCCATCCGTCCGGGTATACCGAGGGGCCCATGGCGGTAAAGTGGGGATAGAAGGGGGGCCTGAAGCAGAAGCGGAGCCACCAGCTGCAGTAGGCCCAGAGGGAGCAGGAGCTCTGATCGCACGATGCAAGAGAGCACCCGGCCCGGAGACCCGGGTCCTTCTTATGAGAGGTTCTTCCTCAGGATCGACTTTACTGTCAGGATGAGGCCTTTTGCCTCGTTTTTTATCCCGAACGCCCCCCGCGGCAGCAAGAGCTGTGGTAGTTTGGGGAGACGCGCTCGGGTTGGCAGCAGGGGTGCTGACAACGGAGTTAATAGCCACTGTGCTCGGAATAGTGTCAGAGATGGTGGCTGAGGAAGAGGCTGATGCTGGAGAGGAGGTCGCCCCAGCAGTAGGAGTGGTTGGGGGAGTATTTTTCTTCCTGCCAAAAGAAGGAATCTGAAGCCTGCTCATGTTGTAGCCGAGTGATGAGAGCGCTAAGAGGTTGTCTGAAGTGAGGAGATCTGAGCAGGAAGGAATATCGTTCAGAACGTATTTCTTCAAGTAATTACTCCTATCCCTGCAAACACTGTAGCTCAAGTCATCACAAGGTATTCCTAAGGAACGGCATAAGAAAGTACAAAAACGGGGAACGCATGTTTCGCAGGGGCAATCATGTTTATGAGATTTGAATTTCTTATAGGAGGAGACAGAACAGACACCAAAGGCGCTCGGGATTGGGTAACCCTCTGCAGCCGGCGAAGACCAAGCCCCACTAATGCCCACGATGCTATCCCTCCAACCCTTTTCAGATTTTATTGTGTCCGTACATATGGACATCTTCTCGAACGGGTAGAGGTGGTAGAAGGGTTCGTTAGTACGGATCTTACTGACCTTATAGCACAGAAGAAGGTCTATGAGGTCAAGGTCCAGATTTCTGTCACGCATCAACAGGAGCATAACGGATATGATTCTAAAGAAGTTGGGGTTGACCTGCAGGGGGGATATCCCCAATCTATTGAAGACATAACTAAAGAACCGGTGCAGAGGGAACCTAACAACATTCAATTGAAGGTTCGTGAATAAGACTTCGCCGGGCAGGAGGCTGGCACCGGTCATAATGTTAACGTCCTGAGGGCAAACCCTAACTTCGATGTTGTCAGGAAGTCTAAGTCTCATACGAAGAACATCCAGATCTACAACCATGGTGGAAGTGCTTGAAGGATCTAAAAGGGGGTAAATAGAAGCCTGCCGAAAGTAAAAAGGAACAAAACTAACCTCAGAGGACTGCAAGATCGCTGGAAGAATGACTCTTGAAGGATTTCACCAGAAAAAGCTTAGCACTGTTCTAGAAAGAGAGAGATTTGACTGATGATGGAGACGGTAAAAGGACGTGAAGTGGTATTCTAGAGCCTTATAAAGGCGAGGGGGGCCCGAGGGCCGAAGCGTCGGGAAGGCGAGAAATTCCTCGAGCCCCGGAACATTGATTCTGGATCTGACCGTCCGTTCCCCCACGTGGTTTTCTCGAGCCGTCAACGTCATGATGAGACGCCATCAATAATTACCCCCTTATTAAATAAGGGGCAATTATGGGGGCAGTTGAGGAGGCCCAGGACGACATGGGCCGGATCTGACTTGGATCTGACTTGCAAGCACGACATCCGGTCCGTACAGCTGGGTCGGCCCATAAAAAGACACTGCCATATGGGCCGAACGCGAATAAGCCCATCAAAGGTGACCAGGACTTATGGAGGAACAGACCCAGATCTAGCAATCCGTCAATATTTGTAAATATCTTGTAAATATCTATAAATAAGGGAAGGAATGAAAAGAAGAGGAGGATCTTTTGGTTGAAGTGTAAGAATTCTAGAGAGAGAAAGTGGGTATGAATTTCTTGCATTTTCAATAGTAAAATAACATTGATGTTTGATAAGAATTAAAAAATGAATCGTATCTATGTATATAGATCATCCATAATATGAAATTCTACTGTCGTCTATTTTGATGTATATCTCTAATAGGTGACCCAGAATTTGGATTGCTTGAGCTGTGGGAAGTTGATGTGAGATAATGTTTTTAATAAGTTGTTTGGACATTAATTAGGTGGCCTATAATGATAGGTGGATCTTTCGGTGGCCAAGTCATTTTTAATTAAGGAATTCACTTTGAACAAGGTAACTAGGTAAGCAGTTTGGCACTATGTAAGTGGTTATGCATCCATCAACTCGTCTGTCCTGCAAGCTGGTTTTGCTGCTATATTTTAACCCCACCTTGTAGTCTGATTTTACATAGTTCCATATAACAAATTACATAATAGCCAACTATTTATCTCACAAAAGGATTTTGGATCCAAGTACAGTGTCTATTAAATGCTGAATATGACACAACATTAATCCTTTTGCCTATATATATATATATAATGTATATTTTGTATTCATCATATATATCGCTCTGAATCCTGACATTTACTCCTAAATAACCCTCAAGTTAACATTGTGGAGAATTTTTACGTGGTTGGTACAAAATGATTGCTTGCTTACTTATATCATTAATGGAACACATTCCAGCGTGAGAAATATGTTTCTTTGCCTCGCACATAAAAAATAATAATAATAATAAATAAATAGTAAAAAAATACTTCCTTTTCTTCAACTGACAATTTCTATCTATATATGTAGCTTGCCTCACACATCTTTTGGTTGTTAAGAAACTAAATCATATTCTAAGATTCTAAATTCTCTGTGTGTTATTACTATTATTTTTTTTTGGACAATATGTTCGGTAGGTAGGAAAGGGACTTGGATCCAGTTATTCTAAGTTGAATTCGCTATAAATTGGCACGTGACATTTAAAATCTATCTATCTACTGTTGGTATTAAACCAAGTCAACTTTTAAGTTTGAAAATTGTACCGTTTTGAGATAAGAAAAATTTATTAAAGTTTAAACTGCACCATTTTAAATTAAAGAAAATTCACCATACTCTAACAAATGTTTAACGATTGAAGAAATATTTCGCGCCAAAAATGGATTTTCTTTGCAATGGAATTAAGATGGACGAAAATGTGATTGCAAGATCCACATGTAACTTTTCCTGGCAATAGTAATAGTTGGAAAAGAACATATATAAGCATGGATACTAATACAACCAAAAGCCCTATATATAGAAAATATGAGAAAGAATGTTGGTTGGGTTAAAAGAGAAACAGAGACCATCGCGCTTAAAATAAGAATAAAGAGGAGAGAGAGGGATGATTTTTTTTTTTTTGGAAAAGATAAGGGAGAGATAATCACGTTAGAGTATGGTGAATTTTCTTTAATTCGAAATGGTGTAGTTTTTAAACTTTGTAAAATTTTTCTTTATCTCAAAATGATGCAGTTTTCAAACTTTTTCAAAATTAGTTGATATGATTTAACACAGCAGAGAGATTTTAAATGTTACGTGTCAATCTATAGGGAATTCAACTTAGAATAACTTAGAGAATATTTAATTTAGAGGGGGTAGGAAGGGACGAATTTCTTTTGTTCCATAAAGATGATATAAGGAAAAAAAAGGAGAAAAGAAAGGATGACCTATCCTTCTTCTTTTACAAATTTTTATCCTTAAAAAAATATAGGCTAAAAAAAAAGAAGAGAAGTAGATTATTATAGAAGTTTTACATTAAATACTATCCTAATTTATATAAGTTTTAAATTACAATTATATCCTCTATAAATTATAATATTACTAATATTATTGGATATAATGGTAAAAATAATTAAAACTTTCACTTTCTCTTGAGAACATAGTAAATTGTGAACTTATTCTCTTTTTATTCTATCCATTTTCTATTCTATCCAATAAAAGGAAGAAAGTACATAATCTTGGTAGTAATATTTCATTCGTCCTATTTTCTCTCACTTCGGTAGTAATATTTCATTCGTCCTATTTTCTCTCACTTCTATTCAAATTACCAATCTCATAGTGGTTATATATTTGTAGCAATTAGTAGGTAATTCTTCATATCTAGAACAAATAGAACTGTCCCAAAATTTGTCATTAACTCTTAAGTCTTATGATTTTTTTTATTTCCCAGCAAAATCTTCCCTTAAGCACCATAGTGAGAGAAGTAAAGACTCTCTAATGAAAAAAAGACAGTAATTTATATTTTTGTTTATAAGAAACGTTTTTCATTATTAAACGCAACCTTAAAGATAATATTGAAAACACTAAAAGCATCGAACAAAAGTTACTTACCCCGTAATTGACAGCAGAAAGGAATAAATTTTCACATTCAATTAATATATAAGGTAAAAAAAAAGAAAAAGAAAAAGAAAAAAGAAACAACCGCAAATAGCACAAAAGTAATAAAGGACAAGAGAGAAGCGACCATATAAAGAAGCCGGTTAAAGACGGCCACAATCATGGTCACCTCGCCGGCCGCTACCTCTAAATTGCCAGCGCACACGTTATAATTAATCTTACTGTCACGTAACCCCTTTAAAACCCCCTTCATTGGAAGAGTCGGTCATATAATTATTTGTCTCTCATATTTATTTTTATGTTGTACGTAGCACTAGCTTCTTCCTTCATTATCCATCCATCAATTGCTTTATATGGCCAAGTTATCCCACCAAAACAATTCTAATACTACTAATAATATTACTGCAATGAAGCCCAAAGTGAAGGTGAAACGAACCAGGAAAACTGTCCCGAGAGACTCACCACCTCAACGTAGCTCTATTTATCGAGGGGTCACAAGGTCCATATTTATATATGCATGGAATTAACCAGAGTCATTCATATTTCTAAATGTATCAAATTAAGTTTAAATAAGTTTATTTATTTTGTTTAATTATTTGTGATTAATTACTTCAGGCATCGATGGACGGGCAGATATGAAGCTCATTTATGGGACAAGAACTGCTGGAATGAATCACAAAACAAGAAAGGAAGACAAGGTCTTTCATTTCATGCTTATATATATGTTCAAAAATATTGTTTTATGTCCATCTCTTCATCAATTTTTTTATATTTTGATTATATACTGACTTTTCTTCCCTGTTTGCAACAACTGTCTTGGTTGTGGCGGTTTGTTGGTTGGAACCTTAACCAAATGCAGTCTATCTTGGTATGTTCGAATTAATTTCATCATCATCACCTATATATATATATATATATATATATATATATTACCTGCAGAGTATACGCACATTCAAATTTTAAATTAAGTACGTATATACGTATAACCTTTTAATTAAATGGTTCTGATCATTAATTTGCATGGTGGTTCTTCAGGTGCCTATGATGATGAAGAAGCCGCTGCACATGCATACGATTTGGCAGCACTCAAATATTGGGGTCCAGAAACAATTCTTAACTTTCCGGTACTTAAATTCATCTCACTCACAGTAATTAATTAATTAATTAATGCTTTTGACTTGTTTTGTTCATGATCATCAATTAATGATGGAACTAATTAATTTACATGCTTTTATATATAGTTATCAACGTATCAAAAGGAACTGCAAGAAATGGAGGGTCGCTCAAGAGAAGAATATATCGGATCATTGAGAAGGTAATTAAATTCACCCATCTATACATATGACAGGAACAATATATATATAAGAAAAGTTAAAAACATATGTTGAATTGAGGTTCACTTGATATATATTAATGACACTGCAGGAAAAGCAGTGGTTTTTCTCGAGGAGTTTCAAAATACAGAGGAGTTGCAAGGTACGTATCATATATTTACATGTTATTTATTTTAATGACTTGTTTCTTTTTATTCAATATGCTGTTAGTTCTTACTTAATTTTGATAATCCATCCTTCATATTTTGAGTGCGATTTTAACAAAATGGAAGATTTCCACATGTAATTTAATCAAGAACAGTATTCATTTACCAACCGAATCATGATCCAATTCTAGCAAATTAATTAGGATCTTAATATTTAAATTTGTAATTTAGCCGATCATTGCAAGACCTCATCTATATTTGAAGACGTACATAGAATGTGTTTTCTTAAAGCATTTTCATTTTGTGTTGATATATCATGAGCAGGCACCATCACAATGGAAGATGGGAAGCTCGCATCGGCAGAGTTTTTGGAAACAAATATCTATATCTTGGTACATATGGTACGTACAAATCTCTATTTCATTTTCAAACACCTTCTCTTTAATATTAATATGATGTAAATTACATTTTAAAACTCATTCCACTTGTCTGAGTCAATAACTTGTGTAACTTGTTTCCTATAAAGCCAAAACAATAATGGATAATTTAATTAAGCATGGTACATAAATAAAAATATCTGCATGAAGATCAGTCACAATCCACTAAATTGGGAAGACTCCACCTACTTCTACCATAATAATGGATAACCTTTTAAACGTGCCTTCATTTTTTTTATTTTTATTTTATTTTTTAATTTAAAACTCATTTTTTCCCCAAATTATCCCTAAATCATAATCTCTTTCAATTTCTGCAGCTACTCAAGAGGAGGCTGCAACCGCATATGATATGGCAGCTATTGAATACAGAGGTCTTAATGCTGTCACAAACTTCGACCTATGTCGTTACATAAAATGGCTAAAACCTAATGACAACGACAATATTGATCAGCAGCCTTATAATGATGATGTTGATGCTACATTGATTCAAAAAATTGATGACGAATCTGCTGGATCTAGCTTCATCCACCACCAAGAGCCTCCAAATACAGTTGATGCCATCGTAACTCACCGGCCACGCTCAGCCACTGCAACTTCAGCACTTGGACTTTTACTTCAGTCATCAAAATTCAAGGAAATGATGGAGATGACTTCAGCTGTTGAGTGCCCATGCCCATCCACACCACCGGACTCTGACCCACCACAATGCAGCTTCCCTGATGATATACAAACATATTTTGAGTCTCAGGACTTTAGTAGTAGTAGCTATGGTGAAGGAGATGATATATTCACCCAACTCAACTACTTCATGCAACCATTGTGACTTTATTACTTCCTTACTCTTTCTCTCTCTTTCTATCATCATTTTACAAAATTATTTTCCAGGTGCTTCAAGAAGACAAACAGTGCCGAAAAAGGACTGATTAATAATTTCTTTGGGGGAGTGATGTCCACTTTTGATCAATCAAGGGAAGAGACTTACTGTCTACCAGTTGGCTCTTTTTTTTTTTTTTTTTTTTTTTTTTTTTTGTAGATATGAAATAAAAACAAATATTGGCATCTGTTAATTATTTTGTTTTCAACGTTCGAACAATAAATTTCTCTTTCTTGATTGACTTTTTTAAATACAAGCATGGGCACATTAATTTATAGTTTTTACTTCTCATCTACTTAAAATCAATTTTCTGCAATTCATGAAACTTGTTGATCTGTGTGGTTTGGTTCTAATTATATTTAATTTGCAGCTTTTGAATACAAATCTATGCCAATTGACAATAGGATCTTATCACTGAAATAAATTCAGCAAAAGTTCTGATATTGCTAAAACATTAAACATCAATTTAGTTGGTATTTTTAATACCTTTACATAGCACAACTTAAATACAAATAACAAATTTTTACCGCTATTTTAGGACACCATGTTAAGGCATTTGGTTGGTGATAGCCTTAGTGGGCAATCCATACTGCAGAAAAACAAAATCCTCACTCTCACCTACTCATTTAAGGGGAAAAATGACTAGTTAGGTAAATCAATTAAGTGTTTTTTGGTAAGTGTAAATCAATTTAGTTAATCCGGAAAATAATTTTTGATTGGGGCTAAAATCAAAAAGTAAAACGAAATCACACATCTCAAGTTTATATTTTATTATTATTATTATTATTTTTTATTTTTTTTTTTTAAAGTAAAAGAATTATTTTGATTGTGATATATGAAACATACAAACCTGCTGGGGGAGCCCTACAAAATCATGAAACATGAAGCCCAAAAAATACACATGAAAGCCCAAGCCCAAAAGATAGACCAAGTGTTGGGGAGATTACAGTGACAGTGAAGCTGAAATTGTTAGGAGGAATGAGGGAACATGTTGAAGGAAGATTTTTGTGTTTCTTCAGGTGAGCAAGATTTGTATTATATCCCAGTGGTTGACAAACCGAGAGAGACAAAGATGTTGCAAGCTTAACTTAAGGCTAATTGTGGATTAATTTAAATTCAGAAATTATCAATTCTAAATGTTTATTGCTTCTTTCTTAATGCTAAACTTTGATTTTTTATTTCTTTTGATTAATATTGTATATTTATGCTTTGACACAACCAAAATAAATAAATATTTTGTAATGCCATTACAAATCCAAAGGTAAAATTTTGTTATAATAATATATATATATTTATATATTTATACATATGGGACTTGGATTCTCTAAGTTAAATATTCTCTAAGCTATCCTAAACATTTAAAATTTATCTACTGCTTAAATTACGTCAACTAATCTAAAGAAAGTTTAAATTTGAAAACTGCACCGTTTTGAGAGATAATAAAAATTTACCAAAGTTTAAAAACTACACCATTTTGAATTAAGAAAAATTCACCATATTTTAACATCGTTTAATATTGTTATCTCTCTCACATCTTTTCAAAAAAAAGATCTTCCCTCTCTCTCCTCTTGCTCATTCCCACGAATATGTAGATGGGATATTGAACGAGTTAGGAAAATAAAACCAAAAACCCTATATATAGAAAACACGTACTTAGAATATGGTGAATTTTCCTTAATTCAAAAGGGTGCAGTTTTAAAATTTTGGTAAATTTTTCTTATATCAAAACTACTGGTAGTAAATAAATTTTAAATGTCACTTATAAACATGTAGCGGATTTAACTTAGTATAAGTTGGAGAATATTTAATTTAGATGATTCAAATTTGTATGAGCAAACATCAATCTTTTCCTCTATCTTAATTTACTGATTCATGAAAAGTGGTAAGTTTTTCAAAGATTCTTAATAACAATAATAATAAGGCAACATTCATATTATATAGAATTTTTTTGGTTTCCCTTTATAGAAAAAGCTGTGGGTTTGGATTACTTGGGTGATAAGGTAAAATCTTATATGGAAGGTTAAATTAAAAAGGTAACAGATATGCCATTTTCTTACCATTTTCAATTCTAAGAAACTAATTTACCATTATGGTGTGTGTGAGTTTTTCTCCCTCATTCTCTATAAATTCACACACCCAAATTGTAATCAATCCGCACAAATACTACTCCCTTCCTCTTCTCTTGTGAGTAAAATTTCTCTTTTTTTTTTCTCTTGTATAATGGTTTTTATGTTTTTAATATTATTGATCTTTTTTAGTAAAGAAGGTAATATTTTTATTTTGGATGAACATGAAATCCAATGATATGATCACTTTTTTTTTTTTTTTTTAAGACTAATTACTTTTTATTTGTGTTGCATGAAGGGTCCTTTGCCTGAAAAAGCTTGGTAAACTATGGCGGAATGTGTTTTGACTTGTGATGGTAGCCTTAAGGAGCATTTGAAGAATGCTATAGTATCTCATCCAGAGAAAATACTCCAACTGACATCTTGGTACCGTTATTATGATTATTATTTTTTCTTTTGTATCTATGTTAAATTAAATGACGACTATGACCCCAATTTGTTAACTCTTTTCCAAAGTCCATTCGCCCTCACAAAATAAGAAGCTTCAATTTTTTGTTTTTATCTGGAACGTTCTCTCGTCCCCACCCGATTCCTCTCTTGTCGACGCGCCATCCCCTTTTCTCTCTCTTAACCTCCACCCACAACCGATCCCGTTCTCTCTCCATCTCCACCTCCACCTCCACCTCCACCTCCACGGCCGTTACCCTTTCTCTCACTCTCTCCCTCTCTCTATATCCGCCGGCACTGCCCCATCTCTCGCCGCCGGCGATGTTCAAGCCAAGGGTTCAAACTTTTTTTTCTTTAGTTGGTATTCACACTCTCCACCAGGCTCACTCCTACTACCTCTCTTTGACATTTTGGCCAAGGGTTCAAACTTTCTTTCTTCATCATATTTTACAAATTGTATATAAATTTTGATTCTTAGTGTGCGTCTGTGTGTATAATAATTTGTATGGGTTGCTGGATCGGGTGATGAGAGAGTGCCGCAAACCACCACTTCACCGCCATTAAAGTAGGAACCAACTCCTTCAAACTCCTCATCGTTTGAACCGACCCACCACCGGCGAATCCTTGCCAGTCATTTTCGGCCACGACATCCTTGCCTCCGCTTCCATCTCCGCCGCCTCCCAACTCCCCGCCATCAATGCCCTCTCCAAATTCTAACAAATCGTTCGCTCCCAACGCATATCCCCAACCCAAATCCGCCACCCTTTCCCGCAACCTCTATGATATTCCACTCCTTCACGATCTCACTGCATATACGTGTCTATAGGGAGTGATAGAACAGAACAAAATGGGGTCTTTTCAATTTGAAAAGTGAGAGAGAATAATAACCTTACAATTGGTGGAATGGAAAAATAGACAATTTGCGTAGGGTGGTGGTGTTGTAATAAAGCTCAATCTGAACCAGTGTAATAAGCTCAAACCTCAGGGTGTGAGTGTAATTCACCCATATTTTTATGATTGCTTAATTCTTCGGATTAGGAAAAATTGGACCATACCTTAATCTACGTTTATGAATTCATTTAGTCTTTGCAAGTTGTATACCATGCTTCCATTAGTGTATGGTAATTTAAATGAAGGCCTTATCACTAAAAATTTCTTTAAAAATAATTGTACTAATTGATCAACAAGTCTGTCTGGTAATTATATATCAATCCAATGATAGTTGTTTACTTTAGAGCTTCTTTGTATTCCAGGATGCAAAGCCAAGGAAAAGTGATCTTAAAAAATGCTGAAATCTTAAACCATTTGATATCTATTTTCAAAGCTGATGGAGAGAAGCTCATCAATGGCCAGTCTGGACTTGTCTTCGAATGCATTCAGGTAACCAGGTTTCTTTAAGTTGTGACTTTTAAGGGGTATTATTATTTGTATTTGTTGCGACTTTTAAGGTGTATTTATTATTTGTATTATCATGAATTACAGGAAGCGATAGCAATAGCTCCTCGAATTGCACTTGCTGTCCGGCGAAGGCCTGGTTTCACAGAATATATATGTTTGGATCTAAATGCACTCACTATTGAAGAAATGAGCGTGCCCCAATATCTGCAGTTCAAGGAAAAACTCGTCGATGGATGGTAATTTGAATTTTGAAGCTCATCATAATACTTCATTTTCTTTATTTCTGCTATTAGTATTTATTAGAGTTTTGATATTTACTAACAATAAAGTTCTCTTACCCTTTGTTAACTTAAATTAGTGTCACTGATTCTTGCAGTAGCAATGGCACCTTTGAGTTTGAATTGGACTTTGAACCATTCAATGCATCGATTCCTCACCCAAAGCTTTCAAAATCTATTGGACATGGTGTGGAGAATCTTAACCGTCACCTATCTGCAAAAATGTTCCACGACAAAGATATGAAGCAGCAACTGCTTGATTTTCTTCGGCTTCATAACTACAAGGGCAAGGTAAATTTTGATGGTTGAGTAATCTTTTTATTTCCCATACACTGTAAAGTTTTGTGATTGTTATATCTAAAATGAATGTTATACTTTGATGTTATTGTGCAGTCACTCATGGTGAATGACAGAATTCAGAACTTGAACCAACTTCAATCTGTTGTTAGAGAGGCAGTGGATTATCTGTCTACTTTGCCTTTGGATGCCCCATTTTCTGATTTTGAAGATAGGTTCCAAGTGACTGGTTTGGAAAGGGGTTGGGGTGATACTGCTGAATCAGTGTCTGACATGCTTAATCTGCTCTTACAACTCCTCGAGGCTCCTGACCATTGTGCCTGCGAGAAATTTCTCGGGACAGTCCCTATGGTTTTCAATGTAGTTATTCTCTCTCCCCATGGTTACTTTGCTCAAGACAATGTCTTGGGCTATCCTGATACTGGTGGCCAGGTATGTTAAAATATTTATGATCAAAAAGTTTTGTCCGTTGCGTTGTTGTTTGAGCCTCTCTAAATTTGTTAACCTTCTTATCTCTAAATTTGCCTCACAGGTTGTTTACATTTTGGACAGGTTGTTTACATTTTGGATCAAGTTCCTGCCATGGAACGCGAGATGCTTAAACGGCTGAAAAAGCAAGGACTTAATGATATCATCCCTCGAATTATCATTGTTAGTATTGAAGTTTTCTTTATCATTCAGGTTTGTGATCCATTTGTTTTAGTGCTAATGCTTGATATTCTGTCATAGGTCACCCGCCTTCTGCCAGATGCAGTTGGCACCACGTGCAATCAACGCATTGAGAAAGTCTATGGAACAGAGCATTCATACATTCTGCGAGTTCCCTTTAGAACTGAGGAGGGAATTCTTCGCAAGTGGATCTCGCGTTTTGAAGTGTGGCCATATATGGAGACTTTCACTGAGGTGAACATAAATAAGTTTAGCAATATTTGTTTTACCATTTTCTCTATCTTTCACATTCAGTTATTCATTTCTTGATTAAATTTATTCTGAATTATGTTTCCAATTTCCTTAGGATGTTGCAAATGAAATTCTTGGAGAGTTGCAGACAAAGCCGGACTTGATCATTGGCAACTACAGTGAGGGTAACCTTGTTGCCACCTTACTAGCTCACAAGTTTGGGTCAATCCAGGTACAATATGTTCTTTTTTTATTCAATCATTTTCTTCCTCTCAAGGATCAATCTAGCTGCATTTCTTACCTAGCTTCATTTTGCAACCATGTGGACCAAATATGTGTTACTTATGTGAGCATTCAACCTTTTTTGCAGAGTACCATTGCTCATGCTTTGGAGAAAACTAAGTATCCAAATTCTGACCTATATTGGAAGAAATTTGAGGAGAAGTATCATTTCTCGTCCCAGTTTACTGCTGATCTCATTGCAATGAATCATACTGATTTCATTATCACTAGCACTTTCCAGGAGATTGCTGGAAGGTACCATTAATTCTTGTTAATCAGCTAGTTATGTGTATAATTAATTTGTTTTTCAATTATTTATTTTAAAATGACAGCCCCCAAACTATTATTTGTATGTTTCCAGTAAGAACTCTTATGGACAGTATGAAAGTCATACAGCCTTTACCATGCCTGGATTGTACCGAGTTGTCCATGGGATTGATGCGTTCGACCCCAAATTCAACATTGTTGCACCAGGGGCTGATATGTCCCTCTACTTCTCTTACTCAGAGAAGAGTAGACGACTGACTAACTTCCACCCTGAAATTGAAGAGCTTCTATTTAGTGCTGTTGAAAATGAAGAACATTTGTAAGTTTCTTTCTCTTTGCTATGTCAATGTCCCATTTGTCCTGTTGACTAAATGATCACTGATACATTAATGATGTTGGTGTATGCAGATGTGTGTTGAAAGACAGGAGCAAGCCCATTCTATTCACAATGGCAAGGCTGGATCGTGTGAAGAACTTGACAGGACTTGTTGAGATGTATGGTAAGAGTGCTCGGCTTAGGGAGTTGGTGAACCTGGTTGTGGTAGGTGGAGATCGTAGGAAGGAATCCAAGGACTTGGAAGAGCAAGCAGAGATGAAGAAGATGTATGAGCTCATAGACACCTACAAGCTGAATGGTCAGCTCAGGTGGATTTCTTCCCAGATGAACCGGGAGAGGAATGGTGAACTGTACCGATACATTGCAGACAAGAGAGGAGCTTTTGTGCAGCCTGCTTTCTATGAGGCTTTCGGTCTGACAGTGGTTGAGTCCATGACCTGTGGCTTACCAACATTTGCTACATTACATGGCGGTCCAGCTGAGATAATTGTGCACGGAAAGTCTGGCTTCCACATTGATCCATACCATGGTGATGAGGTTGCTCAAGTGCTTGTTAATTTCTTTGAAAAGTGCAGGGATGACCCAACTCATTGGGAATCCATTTCGGCTGGAGGCCTTACACGCATTCTTGAGAAGTAAGTATATATGCCATCCTTTATTTGTTGATGAATTTTGTTAAATATATCTGTTTCTTTTATATAATCTCAGTAGTAAGTATTTTTTCTTTTTCCTGATTACTTATACATCTCTGTTTTTATAGGTTTACATGGCAAATTTACTCTGAGAGGGTGATGAATTTGGCTGGGGTTTATGGATTTTGGAAGCATGTGTCTAAAAAAGATCAACGTGAGATTGAGAAACGACGCTACATTGAAATGTTTCATGCCCTGATGTACCGTAAGTCGGTAAGCCCCGTCAGCCCGTGACCTACTAATTTTATTTTAGAGAATTTCTTGGAACTTTATGTTAAATTACTGAATTTTAATTTCAGGCCGAGTCTGTTCCGTTAGCAGTTGATGAGTAGATCAAAGGAAGAACCATTATCACGGGATCTTATTGGACGGCATCAATTTTCCTTTTCATTTTTTCTTTTTGAAACAGTTGTTTTGAATAGACCAATAGGTAGTCAGTTATTGGTAGTGAATTTGGTTTACATGGATGGTTTTATCCCTTTTTATCTTAGTAGATAAAATTGATGAATGTAAAACATCTGCTATTTCCGTGGTAATAAATATCTAAGTTCTAAGTTTATATGTTTTGATGGTTCTTGTAGATTGAATATGACTTATATATACTTATATTCACACACATACACAAATCTATCACTCCATTTAAGAAATAATTTATCTTGTACCTAACATAAAAATCTATCACTCCACCCAATGAGGGAAATTAAAAAATAATCTATATATTATCAAATGTTGGTTGAGAAATATAGGGAATCTTGTATCTGGACTTTAATTATTTGAGGCCATTAAATTTGGCTCCCTTATTAAAGGAGATAAAGAGGAAAGCTGATGATAGGATCAGCAAAATAGAGCTGGGAAAGGAAGTTACTGTCAGTAACAGTCTTGACATGAACAAGAAATTAGATATCTCAAATCAGAAAGAATTAGAGAAACAATATGAGGAAAAGGAAATAATGTGGAGAGCGTATTTGCGCCTTAAAGAACTATGTAGAGATATATATTTGCTAATATTATTCTGTTTTGTTTTCTTAACTATGTAGATTTTGACATTTGAGTCTTGAGTAGTCTCACCTATACAAGGTTATAGCAAATGAGCTTCTTTTTTTTTGATCCTATGTAGCCTTCTTGAATTTTGATACATATATAGTATGGTCCCATGGCAGTTGCCCGATGAGTTGATTGACACTGCACACAAATACTATGCTGATACTGCACTTCCAAAACTGGTCAGTTCCTTAATAGAAATCAACGTTTTCATTTCCCCTGAGGTTTTTTAAAGACTATGTTTGATTACTGCAACTTCAACTTTAATTAGGTGGCAGATTTTGGCTCCCTTGAACTTTCACCAGTTGATGGAAGGACATTGACAGATTTTATGCATACCAGGGGTTTGCAAATGTGTTCCTTGGGGTTCGTGGTAAATGCTATAAATCATTACTTTTATTTCAAATTCTTCTGCTTCATGAGTGCTTCTACTGCAGCCACTGCATTATTAAGTCTTTAGTAATTTCCTTTCTTTAGTAGTTTATGCTCTTCAATACTTTAAAAAAAGAAGAAGAAAGAAGGGGGAAAAAACTAGATGGAGATGGTAGTCAAGTGCACCGGTTATGAACGGAGATGGTAGTCGAATTCACTAGTCATGAATTGAATTAATTTCTAATGGAGAAAGGAATGCCATTTGAACGTGATCAATTACATTACAGTAGTACTGTTTTGAGGATGAAATGTTATTTAAAATTATGATGAACTTTATGCGAGTTATTTATTTGCTATTCACCATATAATGAATCCAATAATTATTTGGACCCATATTCCTTATTGAATTTTGAAGGCACTCTTAAAACTAGTGTCAGTATCTGGCCCTTACCATCTAATGACAGTGGGGGCATATAGTCTTTTGGCTGTAGTGCTCTACCACACGGGATTTCAATCAGGTATGCGCTTTATAATACCGGGACTGGTTCCATGCTGGTATGTGGTGCCAGTTTTGTCTAAAAATATTAATTGATTTCCATTGATAATTGTCGTATGTTTGACATCCTAATCCATGCTATGTGCATCCAAATCTTGATGGGATGACCTTAGTGCAGCCAAAGCAGTCTTGAAGGTGAACACATGTATATAAAGATAGGAAGGTGTCTGGTCAATTTTATGAGCATATTCAAATGATTGTCGACAGTCATTGACATTTAGAAGATCATATAAGTTAAAAAATAAAAAAAGTACGGGGTTCAGAACTTTTAAAAGATATTGTAGCACATAGTTTGTTTTCTTCTTTTGCCTGACTTAAATTTCTTGTTAGTTTTTTGAAAAATTGATTCTTTGACTAATATCGTTGCCCATCCCACCATGCCTGGCTTGATCCATCTCCCCAGTTTGTGACCGAGGAATGCACCTAGAGCAGCAACACAAGGAATTTAGGGCTGGAATATAAGAACAACCATTGAATTTAATTTTATATTAGAGGAATAAAATATTTTTTAATTGTATATGAGAGGAATAGGATATATATATTTTTGACTGTTTTTTCATGCCACACCTATAGGCGTAGGATGCGAGTAAACATGAGTTTGTTTACTGATTGCATATTGCAAATACATGAGCTCTCAGAAATGCAAAGAATTCATTGCGCACCTCCATGGCCACTTCTTCTGTCTTTTATATTATATTGTGATAATATGCATTTACATGTAAGATATTAATTAGACTAATTTGCAATGCTTATAATTTGTGTTTGATATTTTGTGGAAGACAAATAAATCAGAAGTGCACAAATTGGACAAAGACATTAGAGGCTAAGGCATTTAAAAGCATAAGCCTAAATCTTTATGAGCATATTCAAATGATTGTTGACAGTCATTGACATTTAGAAGATCATAATAAGTTAAAAAAAGTATGAGGGTTCAGAACTTTTAAAAGATATTGTAGCGCATAGTTTGCTCTCTTCTTTTGCCTTACTTAAAATTCTTTTTAGTTTTTGGAAAAATTGATTCTTTGACTAATGCCGTTGCCCATCCCACCATGCCTGGTTTGATCCATCTCCCCAGTTTGTGACCTAGGAATGCACCTAGAGCAGCAACACAAGGAATTTAGGGCTGGAATATAAGAACAAAGAATGAATTTAATTTTATATTAGAGGAATAAAATATTTTTAATTGTATATGAGAGGAATAGAATATATGTATTTTTGACTGGTTTTTCATGCCACACCTATAGGCACAGGATGCGAGTAATCATGAGGTTGTTTTCTGATTGCATATTGCAAATACACGAGCACTCAGAAATGCAAAGAATTCATTATGCACCTCCATGGCCACTTCCTCTGTCTATTATATTATATTGTGATAATATGCATTTCCATTTAAGATATTAATTAGTCTAATTTGCAATGCTTATAATTTGTGTTTGATTTGTGGAAGACAAATAAATCAGAAGTGCACAAATTGGACAAAGACATTAGAGGCTAAAACATTTAAAAGCAAAAGCCTAAATCTTTAATTTACAATTTCGAGTTAACATTAAGGTTTTTTTTGTTTTTTTTTTAATTATAAAAAACACCAGCATTCTCATTCTAAATCAACTTCATTTTTACTCAATTTCAAGTGTCAACTTGAAAATATTAATATATAAGACATCTATGACCATATGATTGCTGTTTCACATGTGATTTAGCATGATCACACTGTTGTTGATTACTTGATCAGGCTACTATATATCAGCAAAAAACATTGGATATCAATGAAAGAGAGCTTGGACTTGATCATCCGGATACAATGAAAAGTTGTGGGGATCTAGCTGTTTTCTACTATTGACTCCAACACACTGAGTTGGCCTTGAAGTATGTTATCTAGTATTCTGAATTGAAAGTTGTTCTCCACAGCTTTTGCATGGTAGTTGTTGTCCTTTTTGTTTGCCGTTGTTTTCTATCATAAAAAGGGCTAGCACACTGCATTGCATTCTTTCATGCAGATATTTATATTTATGTGATGCAGTTAAAGCTCATCTCTGTTTTATTAATTTTTTTTTTTTTCTTCTTATGGTAAGTCTTCGCTTCATATCTCTCAAACAATACATTTAGGAATATGAACCTGACATTAGATTCACTCTCATCCAATGGGTCGTCGGGTCATAAGCGGGTTGCAACGGGTCATTGGGTCGTAAGCGGGTCACAACGCGACCCCGGCACCAAATTCGGGCCACAATATCACACAATTGGCTGCAAATGGGTTTTCTCTGTTAAACTTAGATCTGATGGCTCCTTAGATCGATATAAAGCTCGTTTGGTCGCTCTCGGGAATTGGCAAGAGTATGGGATTAATTATGAAGAGACTTTTGCTCCTGTGGCAAAAATGACAACTGTTCGTACAGTGCCTTATTATATAAAGGAAGTCTCTCGAAGGGAAAGGCAGACAAGTTTTCTCCCGAAATTCTCTTTGTTCTCTTTGTCTCGTCACTTTGAGTCCAAGGCTCTGGAACAGCAGGAATGTAATGTCTGTGTCAATATATATATATATATATGTGCATATGTGTATATATTTGTGTGTGTGGTGTAATTTAAAACAAAAAGAAAAAGGGAAAAGAAAAAGGAAATTGGGTAGGACCCACATGCACTTAAAATGGTCATGAGACCACTTTTTGTTCTAATTTTTTTTTATTTTTCCCGTAAGCTTCTCTCTCATTCCAGAAGCTCTCTGTTTTTATTTTTTATTTTTTTGGTTTCAAGCTTCAAGGCTTGATTACTCCCTCATCTCTTAGTATTTTTAAGTGCCGTTTGAGGCAAAACGAAGCCCACGACGAGCTCTACGCATCCATACCATCAATTTCAGTTTTTGTTCACCCTTTGGATTTCGAAATTCAAGACCTACTTTTAAGGGTTTTGTGCAAATTTGAGGTAGGGGCTCTTTATCCACAAGTTTCTTGCTCCTATGTGAATTACATCTTCTAATTTGATGCTAGACATGTTTACTTATGCTAGTTGTAGTTTAAAGAAATTATAGCATGTGTATGTGGTTATGTGAGAACTTGTTTTAAATGTTTTATGTGAAAATTCTTACTTATGTGATGATTTATATATGTTCGTTGTGCTAGATGCATTGTTGTACAAGAGCATGTTAGAATCCCTTGAGAAATTCTTGCGAAATTATGTCTTGCTTACTTAAATAGAGTTGAATGTGAAATGATGATTAAATTCATGGTATTGATGCACTCATGCACTTACATTAGGCATGAAACGGGAAGAATGAGTTTGAAATGAAAAATGAGATTTTGGGAAAAATGATTTGATGAAACGGTTTTGAAAAAAACCCGGTCGCCGTGGGGGTACCAAAGGGCCGGAGTGTTAATATAGCCTAGAGGGGACTAGAGAGTCGCCCTAGCGTGGTTGAGCTAGCTGGGCCCTATAATGACGCCGCGGGGGTACCAAGGGTCATGGACACTAGCCAATCCTCCTCTCGTGTCGCTGCGGGGTCACCAAAGGGCGGGTTATATTAACAGTTTGAAAGTGATGTTTGAGAACAGAAAATGGGGAGTGACATTGGCATGCATTTGCATTTCATGGCATCGTGTGGGTTGTACTTGAGTTTAGTTGGAATGTTGTATTATTTCCCGACATTGTATGATCCTCATTTCCTATTGGCCTATTCTTTGTATGGATTCACGGGGACACAAGAAAAGTGTCTTAAGCGTCACCTACTGAGCATATTTGCTCACCCTACTATTTATATTATTTTTTTCAGGTCTTGGAAATGAACTGGTGGACGACAATCCACCTCAAGCTTGAAAGTTGTTAGAAGGTTGTTTGCTATTTTGTATTTTGACCGTTCTATGTATATTCGTAGTTGTGGAAATGTAACTAAGTTAGTATTCATGGCCTTGTAACTTAAGAACGAACTTATCTTTTGTTTGATGTAAATGAAACTAATGGAATTATGGTATATGTTTCCATGTAATTGTATCATGTAACGTTGTAAGACAGGGACTTTAAATATTAATCTTGTATTTTGGGACTGTAATTATGATAATTTAGATTAATTGGTGTGTGGATGTTCCACCATGAGAGGAACTATGTTGAGGTATAATGAACGGATGAATGGGATGCTGGATGATATTATTTGTTTTGTGTTTTGGGACAGGTTGTTGAAGGCCCATTTTTTGGGGAGGTTATGTCCAATTTTTTTTAAATTTTGGCATCAGCTAGGGTCGTTACAAGGAAGCTGCACACAGTGATACTCCAAAACCAGATGCTTCTATCTCCAGTGAAGGTCACTTAAGGTAATTTATTTGTTGTGTCATTTGTGTGTTCTTTTTCCTTTTTACTGGTAAAAAATTATGCTTACACTTAATCCAAAAGTCCTGTGTAGATAGCTTGTAGTCAAACTATTATTGACGGATTCCTGAATTCTTGAGTAAGTGAATATAGTTACTCTTTAGATAGTTTATAGTTCTCAGAACATGGTTCCTCTAAGACGGGCATGCTGATGCAAAATCCAGCTTAATACATGATTATCATGTCAAATTTCTTGTTAGTGGGTTTCTTTTCGTTGTTATGTTTATGCTTTTAATATCATAATTTTTTATTGTGTTCCCTAAATTCTGGATTATATGGTGTAGATTACTAAGTTATATCTACAAGAACCTTAATAAAATAAACCAAATTAAATAGACTTTCCTTTGAAGTGGTTTTGATACATTTGCCCCTCATGTTGGCCATCAGTTGCCATACCAATACCATTGGATATTTTTTAAAATATATAGCATATATCTTGAGTTCATTTGAATTGCATGTCATATATTAATTATTATAGCATAACTTTCTTTTCCTTCCTGGACCAGTGTTTCAGATCTATTGGATCACATAACACCAGATGCAGATATGACAACAAGAGACGCCCAAAAGAAGCAAGCTTGTGCGAAGGTCACAAAATCATGGCTGTTCCCAGTTTTATTCTCTCATCTCACTTGCTTTTATTACTAAAATATCCTGATTAAAGTTCCTCCCTATTCATATAGGTTAAAGGAAAACCAGGACAAAGCTGGGAAATGGTCACAGATGAATACCAGAAGGATGAAATACAGAAGACTCTAGTGATAAAGAGAATAAATCTGAACTAGAGAACAAAACTGGATCCCAGTTTGCGGAATCGATGGAAAAGAAGCCTGATTTGCTTCTAGCAGATACGATGGTATTGAACCAAAATGATGATCTGGCACGGGATGACACCTCCAATGAAGGATGGCAAGAAACTTTCCCCAAAGGTCACTCACCTACAGGTCGTAAGACTTCTAGTTCAAGGAGGCCAAGCCTCGCAAAGCTTTATGAATATCTCCCAATCATCAAGGTCCCGAGGTAAGCCCAGTAATTTCACATCCCCAAAAACAATTTCAAACGAGTCTGCTGCTTCAACTGGGCCTGCTCCTATTCCAAAAAAGTTTTAATAGTACAAGCTTCAGTCAAAAATTAAATAACCCTTCAAGCCCAGCAATTGGGACAGAGAAATCTGCCAACCCCAAGTCAGCCTCAGCTAGCCCCGCTTCAACTGATCAAGTTGCCAAGTCTACTCCAATTATAAGTTAAGCGTTCAGGCAGCTGGAAAACTTTTTTCCTACAAAAAAGTTGCTTTAGCTCCACCTGGTACCATTGTGAAGGCAGTAGCAGAACAGTTGCCAAAGGAAAACCATCCAAATGACCAAAGTCCTTAGGTTACCAATGAGACGGTAGTTGCAGAAGCAACTCAAGGTGACCACATGACAGCAGTGAAGGATGCGGAACAAGAAAAACTTCTTAAATCAATTGAAGAGAAACAACTTCTGGTTTCTGATGAGGAAATTAAAAAGAACGTCAATAAGAAACAGGTTACAGAAAGAGGGGGGGGGGGGGGGGGGGGGGGGGGTGGTGTGTTTGACGGAATCCTCGAAGGGAGTACTGAGTGCAGCTGCTAAAGACACAGAAGTGGAAGCTGAGACAGTTGCAGAAGTAGCACAGAAGAAAACTCTGTAGCTGTGGCTGATTTGGGAGTTGCAGAAATTGATTCTTCCAAGGATTTGAAGTCTATTGCTTTCAAAAGCGCAGTTCTGTAAACAGAAGTTGACAAATGCCCCGCAGCTTCCTCTGATTTGGAACCTCTTGCTGTTCCAATGGAAAATACAACTCTCTTGCTGGAAAAAGATGCCTCCATTCTGGAAGAGAAAAAGGCAAAGGAAGATGAAAGTTCACATGATGTCCCTAATAATAATGGAATTGCGAGTCCTTTGCCAACTGAAGCTGAAAAACAAGGTAGTGGAAGTGCTTGTCCTTTGTCAACGGAAGCAGAAAAGCAAAGTGATGCAGAAACTGGAAGTGAAAACACCAAGAAACTTTCTGCAGCTGCAGCTGCGCCTCCACCTCCCTTCAATCCATCCATAATTCCAGTTTTTGCCTCTGATCCATTGTCAGGAATTTAGGAGCATGGAGGAATATTACCACTACCAGTTAATATTCCGCCAATGCTTACAGTAAACCCTGTTCGTAGGTCTCCTCGTCATTCAGCTATAGCAAGGATTCCATATGGTTCATGGCTGTCAGGTGGTTACAGATCTGGAAATCGTGTTCCTAGTAACAAGACTTCTTTTCACATTCATAACAGTAGGCATTACCATCGAGAGTCTTGAGGATAACAGACTCGTATAAGAAAGAAATCTACATAACAGTAGAAGATGCTGTTGAGTAGTAGTTCGTTAGTAAATTAGATTCTCTCTGCTTGAGTTTTTTTTGTTGTACTTTTCAGGCATTACCTCTTGGATGATGCTTGTGAATGGAAATAGAAGGTCTGAAGGTCTGCTACTACCCGACTTTCATTTTTTTTTTTTTTTTTTTTTTTCTTCTTGTTTGTAGCCAAATGTTGATGTAATATCCAGATTTTACATTTTTGTCAATTTGGATAATCTAATAAATAAAGAAAGGTAATTTTGATGCGTATGGTTGCAACCTTATATAATACATACAAGATGGATTACAAACAAGGAAGTAAACTTTGTAGCTGTTGCTGTTAACAATAAAATAGGCTACAAAATGAAAATGTTTAAACTCCAAAAGGGATAAAGCAAAAATGAGTTTTGAACTTGATATTGAATTTCCTCATTAAATTGAAATAGTTCCTGGTTCTGACCAGACTGAAGCAGAGCATTGATTAACTGATATGCTTTGTCAATTTATAATTCATGGAAATTGAATTGCTTCCCAAATTTTTAAATGTAACCAGAAAACATTCATCATATGAGTGTAAATAGTAATCTAACTAATTTTGGTGTACATAAACTGCTTTCATGGTGTTGAATGACAAAGTCTATACAAAGTGACAAAAAGCAAGTTTGTTGTATGGGGGCAAATTACAAAGGTTTGAATGGTTCCCAGACTATCGAAACCTGCTCTCCCTTTGTTAAATATGAACTTATTCAAACATGATCAAACAAGTTGAGTTTAAATTCAAATCAGATATTGCTAGCTATATATTTTAACTCTTAAATGTCTTTCCAATTAGCCCATATCACCCACTGATCCAAGAGAGAATTTTACCACTTGCATGCCTCTTGGAATATGAACGCTCACCAAATGCTTGTGTAAAATTGTTGGAGCAGTATATTTTAGCCTGCATATGGTCATGTTTAATCTGCATGTCTGGTTTCTTCAGGCTGCTGCCAGCTATCATGCTATAGCAATCGCTCTCTCTTTGATGGAAGCATACTCTCCTTGAGTGTGTTCAGCATGAACAAACCACTCTACAGATTAGCAAGCCAAGCTTGGATCAGATGATCTACATACACAGGTAAGATAAAGTTCCACCTTTAGTAATTGAGCCTCACATTTGGCCCTTGTCCCTCAACTTTATATGTAAGCTTCTGCAGCGGCTTGAGTACTTTGAGTCCAAGGCTCTGCTGGAACAGCAGGAAGCTGCACACAATGGTACTCCTAAACCAGATGCTTCTATCTCCAGTGAAGGTCACTTAAGGTAATTTATTTGTTGGGTTATTTGTGTGTTCTATTCTTTTTCCTTTTCACTGGTAAAAAATAATGCTTACTTTGCATATGCTATAATGCTTGCACTAGTGAAACTGCAACAGCACAGCAGTTGAGGAAAAGCCAACTAAGTGTTGGGGAGATTACAGTGACAGTGAAGCTGAAATTGTTGAGGAATGAGGATACATGTTGAAGGAAGATTTTTGTGTTTCTTCAGGTAAACAAGATTTGTATTATATCCCAGTGGTTGACCAACCGAGAAAGACAAAGAAGTTGCAAGCTTAACTTAAGGCTAATTGTGGAATAATATAAATTCAGAAATTATCAATTCTAAATGTGTATTGCTTCCTTCTTAATGCTAAACTTTGATTTTTTATTTCTTTTGATTAATATTGTATATTTATGCTTTGCCACAACCAAAATAAAAAAATATTTTGTAATGTCATTACAAATCCATAGGTAAAATTTTGTTATTATATATATATATATATATATATATATATATATATATATATATATATAAGCATACATCAATCTCTTCTTCTATCTTTACCTCTGATCATGAAAAATGGTAAGTTTCTTAGAGATTCTGCAATCTTCCATAATAATAAGGCAACATTCATATTATATAGAAATTTTTGGTTTCCCTCTATAGAAAAAGCAGGTCGGTTTGGATTTCTTGGGTGCTTATGGAAGGTTAAATGAAAAAGGTAACTGATGTGCCAATTTCTTACTATTTTCAATTGTAAAACCTAATTTACCATTATGGTGTGTGAGAGTTTTTATCCCTTCTCCTCTATAAATTCACACACGCCAATTGCATTCAATCCGCACTACTACTCTCTTTCTTCTTCTTCTATACACATCTCTCCTCTTGTGAGTAAGATTTCTCCTTTTCCTTTTCTCTTGTGTATAATGGTTTTTGAGTTATTACTATTATTATTATTATTATTATTATTATTATTATTTTAATAAGTAAGGTATTGATTTTTTATTTATTTATTTTGGATGAACATGAAATCCAATGATGATCACTTTTATTTTTCTATGTTTTGTTTTTGATAACTAATTACTGTTTGTGTTGCATGGAAGGTCTTTTATCTGGAAAAGCTTGGTAAGCTATGGCCGAGTGTGTTTTGACTTGTGGTCGTAGCCTTAAGGAGCGTTTGGAGAACGCTATAGTATCTCATCCAGAGAAAATACTCCAACTGACATCTTGGTACTATTATTATTATTATTATTTCTGATGTGATATTTTTATGATTGCTTAATTCTTCTGATTAGGAAAAATTGGACCATAATCCTGTAACGTTTATAAAATCATTTAGTTTTTGGAAGTAGTATACTCACTATACTTCCATTAGTGTATAGTAATTTAAATGAAGTACTTATCACTAAAAATTTCTTTAAAAATCATTGTACTAATTGATACTGGTAATTATATATCAATCCAATGATAGTTGTTTACTTGAGAGCTTCTTTGTATTCCAGGATGCAAAGCCAAGGAAAAGTGATCTTAAAAAACGCTGAAATCTTAAACCATTTGATATCTATTTACAAAGTTGATGGAGAGGAGCTCATCAACGGCTTGGAATCAATTCAGGTAACCTGGTTTCTAATACTAGAAAAAAAAATTAATTTTTATTTCTTAAGTTGATTTTTAAGGTGTATTATTATTTGTTTTATCATGAATTACAGGAAGCTATAGTGATAGCTCCTCGGATTGCACTTGCTATCCGGCAAAGGCCTGGTTTCACAGAATATATATGTCTGGATCTAAATGCACTCACTATTGAAGAAATGAGCGTGCCCCAATATCTGCAGTTCAAGGAAAAACTCGTCGATGGATGGTAATTTGAATTTTAAAACTCATCATAATACTTTATTTTCTTTATTTCTGCTATTAGTATAGATCAGGTTTTTGATCTACACTAACAATAAAGTTCCCTTACCCTTTGTAAACATAAATTAGTGTCACTGATTCTTGCAGTAGCAATGGCACCTTTGAGTTTGAATTGGACTTTGAACCATTCAATGCATCGATTCCTCACCCAAAGCTTTCAAAATCTATTGGACATGGTGTGGAGAATCTTAATCGTCACCTATCTGCAAAAATGTTCCATGACAATGATATGAAGCAGCAACTGCTTGATTTTCTTCGGCTTCATAACTACAAGGGCAAGGTAAATTTTGATGGTTGACCTAATAATTTATGAATAAGCTTTTGTTTTTTCCCATACACTGTAAATGAATGTTATACTTTGATGTTATTGTGCAGTCACTCATGGTGAATGATAGAATTCAGAACTTGAACCAACTTCAATCTGTTGTCAGAGAGGCAGTGGATTATCTGTCTACTCTGCCTTTGGATACCCCATTTTCTGATTTTGAAGATAGGTTTCAAGTGATTGGTTTGGAAAGGGGTTGGGGTGATACTGCTGAATCAGTGTCTGACATGCTTAATCTGCTCTTACAACTCCTGGAGGCTCCTGACCATTGTGCTGTCGAGAAATTTCTCGGGACAGTCCCTATGGTTTTCAATGTTGTTATTCTCTCACCCCATGGTTACTTTGCTCAAGACAATGTCTTGGGCTATCCTGATACTGGTGGCCAGGTATGTTAAAATATTGATGATCAAAAAGTTTTGTCCCTTACTTTGCTGTTTGAGCCTCTCTAAATTTGTTAACTTTACAGGTTGTTTACATTTTGGATCAAGTTCCCGCCATGGAACGCGAGATGCTTAAACGGATGAAAAAGCAAGGACTTAATGATATCATCCCTCAAATTATCATTGTTAGTATTGAAGTTTTCTTTATCATTCAGGTTTGTGATCCATTTGTTTTAGTGCTAATGCTTGATATTCTGTCATAGGTCACTCGCCTTCTGCCAGATGCAGTTGGCACCACGTGCAATCAACGTATTGAGAAAGTCCATGGAACAGAGCATTCATACATTCTGCGAGTTCCCTTTAGAACTGAGGAGGGAATTCTTCGCAAGTGGATCTCGCGTTTTGAAGTGTGGCCATATATGGAGACTTTCACTGAGGTGAACTTAAATAAGTTTAACAATATTTGTTTTACCATTTTCTCTTTATCTTTCAAATTCAGTTATTCATTTCTTGATTAAATTTATTCTGAATTATGTTTCCAATTTCCTTAGGATGTTGCAAATGAAATTCTTGGAGAGTTGCAGACAAAGCCGGACTTGATCATTGGCAACTACAGTGAGGGTAACCTTGTTGCCACCTTGCTAGCTCACAAGTTTGGGTCAATCCAGGTACATTATGTTCTTTTTTATTCAATCATTTTCTTCCTCTCAAGGATCAATCTATCTGCATTTCTTACCTAGCTTCATTTTGCAACCATGTGGACCAAATATGTGTTACTTATGTGAGCATTCGACCTTTTTTTGCAGAGTACCATTGCTCATGCTTTGGAGAAAACTAAGTATCCAAATTCTGACCTATATTGGAAGAAATTTGAGGAGAAGTATCATTTCTCCTCCCAGTTTACTGCTGATCTCATTGCAATGAATCATACTGATTTCATTATCACTAGCACTTTCCAGGAGATTGCTGGAAGGTACCGTTAATTCTTGTTAATCAGCTAATTATGTGTATAATTAATTTGTTTTTCAATTATTTATTTTAAAATGACAGCCCCTAAACTATTATTTGTATCTTTCCAGTAAGAACTCTTATGGACAGTATGAAAGTCATACAGCCTTTACCATGCCTGGGTTGTACCGAGTTGTCCATGGGATTGATGTGTTCGACCCCAAATTCAACATTGTTGCACCAGGGGCTGATATGTCCCTCTACTTCTCTTACTCAGAGAAGAGTAGAAGACTGACTAATTTCCACCCTGAAATTGAAGAGCTTCTATTTAGTGCTGTTGAAAATGAAGAACATTTGTAAGTTTCTTTCTCTTTGCTATGTCAATGCTCCATTTGTCCTGTTGACTGAATGATCACTGATACATTAATGGTGTTGGTGTATGCAGATGTGTGCTGAAAGACAGGAGCAAGCCCATTCTATTCACAATGGCAAGGCTGGATCGCGTGAAGAACTTGACAGGACTTGTTGAGATGTATGGTAAGAGTGCTCGGCTTAGGGAGTTGGTGAACCTGGTTGTGGTAGGTGGAGATCGTAGGAAGGAATCCAAGGACTTGGAAGAGCAAGCAGAGATGAAGAAGATGTATGAGCTCATAGACACCTACAAGTTGAATGGTCAGTTCAGATGGATTTCTTCCCAGATGAACCGGGAGAGGAATGGTGAACTGTACAGATACATTGCAGACAAGAGAGGAGCTTTTGTGCAGCCTGCTTTCTATGAGGCTTTCGGTCTGACAGTGGTGGAGTCCATGACCTGTGGCTTACCAACATTTGCTACATTGCATGGCGGTCCAGCTGAGATAATTGTGCACGGAAAGTCTGGCTTCCACATTGATCCATACCATGGTGATGAGGTTGCTCAAGTGCTTGTTAGTTTCTTTGAAAAGTGCAGGGATGACCCCACTCATTGGGAAGCCATTTCAGCTGGAGGCCTTAAGCGCATTCTTGAGAAGTAAGTTTATATGCCATCCTTGATTTGTTGATGAATTTTGTTAAATATATCTGTTTCTTTTATATAGTCTCAGTAAGTATTTTTTCTTTTTCCTGATTACTACTTGTACATCTCTGTTTTTATAGATTTACATGGCAAATTTACTCTGAGAGGGTGATGAATTTGGCTGGGGTTTATGGATTTTGGAAGTATGTGTCCAAAAAAGATGAACGTGAGATTGAGAAACGTCGCTACATCGAAATGTTTCATGCCCTGATGTACCGTAAGTCGGTAAGCCCCTTCAGCCCATGACCTACTAATTTTATTTTAGAGAATTTCTTGGTACTTTATGCTTAACTTAGTGAATTTTAATTTCAGGCTGAGTCTGTTCCATTAGCCGTTGATGTGTAGATCAAAGGAAGAACCATTATCACGGGATCTTATTGGACCTCATCAATTCTCCTTTTTTGTTTTTTCTTATTTAATTATCACAAGACATTTGTTTTGAATAGACTGATAGGTAGTCATTTATTGGTAGTGAATTTGGTTTACATGGATGGTTTTATCCACTTTTATCTTAGTAGATAAAATTGATGAATGTACAACATTTGCTATTTCCGTGGTAATAAATATCTAAGTTTATCATGTTTTGTTCATTTTTGTAGATTGAATATTACATATATATATATATATATATTTATATATGCACACATACACAAATCTATCACTCCATTTAAGAAATAATTTACCTTGTACCTAACATAAAAATCTATCACTTCACCAAATGAGGGAAATTAAAGTCTATATATTATCAAATGTTGGTTGAGATATATAGGGAATCTTGCATCTGGACTTTAGTCATTTGAGGCCATTAAATTTGGCTCCCTTATTAAAGGACATAAAGAGGAAAACAGATGATAGGAGCAGCAAAATAGGGCTGGGAAAGGAAGAAATTAGATAGCAATAATCAGAAAGAATTAGAGAAACAAGATGAGGAAAAGGAAATAATGTGGAGAAAGCTGCTTCCTGAAGCAGCATATTTGTGCCTTAAAGAAAAACTGTCTTCACCTTATGGTTTGCTACCTGCTTCATAACTATGTAGATTTTGACAACCATCTTCTATATGCTATGTGGATGCATGGGCTATGCTGTCTTGAGTAGTCTCACCTATAACTTCATAGTCTCACCTATAACTTCATTTTGATTTATCCTATGTAGCCTTCTTGATACATATATTATATAGTATGGTCCCATGGCAGTTGTCTGATGAGTTGATTGAGATGGCACACAAATACTATGCTGACACTGCACTTCCAAAACTGGTTGTTTCCTTAATAGAAATCAAAGTTTTCATTTCCCCTGAGGTTTTTTAAGACTATGTTTGAGTGCTGCAACTTCAACTTTTATTAGGTGGCAGATTTTGGCTCCCTTGAACTTTCACCGGTGTGGAAGGACTTGGACAGATTTTATGTATACCATGGGTTTGCAAATTTGTTCCTTGGGGCGCATGTTAAATGCTATATATCATTATTTTTATTTCAAATTCTTCTGCTTCCTGAGTGCTTCTATTGCAGCCACTGCATTATTAAGTCTTCGGTACTTTCCTTTCTTCAGTAGTTTATGCTCCTCAATACTTTAAAACAAAGAAGAAGAAAGAACTAGATGGAGATGGTAGTCAAGTGCACCAGTTATGAACGGAGATGGTAGTCAAGTGCACCAATTATGAACGGAGATGGTAGTCGAATGCACTAGTCATGAATTGAATTAATTTGTAACGACCCAGCTCCTCATGGATCTGGATCATTAAACGGGTCCTAACCCGACCCAAAAACATCCAAGGGTGAAACGGTAATTTCACGTTAAATTAAAATGTTGAGTTCCAAAAAGGGCAAGATGGTAATTTTCCATATTTCAATAAATTAAGACCCAAAGGACGTCATAGTCGTTTACGTGCATCACACAATAATTAAAATGAGGTCCGGGGTAAAATAGTCCTTTTGGGGCAAAAATATAATTACGGCATTTAATTGGGTCATAAAAATAATTAATTTCAACTTCAAATGATGCCAAAGTGTAATTTTAAGAACTTAAATTGGTAATTACATGAAAAGCAGAACCGGTCGACGTATACTCCTTATACGTCGACTGGTTTGGGATATAAATAGTGGGAAAACCCACTGCCATGATACCGGTCGACTGGTATCAGTGTAATTTTAAGAACTTAAATTGGTAATTACATGAAAAGCAGAACCGGTCGACGTATACTCCTTATACGTCGACTGGTTTGGGATATAAATAGTGGGAAAACCCACTACCATGATACCGGTCGACTGGTTGATACCAGTCGACTGGTTCTGAACATAAGATGTCTCAAATACCGGTCGATCGGTTTGGGTTATACGTCGACCGATTCTATAAAATCTTCACTCCCACTTTCCACTGTCCCGTGTGACCTGTACTCCAATTTTTGGTCGTTCGACCACCCACGTCACTGCACTTACGTACGTCACTATACTTACGTACAAAATTAATACATTCCAACTTCAACAATAACCACGTTGCTATCACAATTTGCCACACGTCACTAAAATACGCTAGAGGATTTAGTGTACAAAAATAATAATTACATTTTAACATTAAATAAAAATACAATAACCATTAACAACATGAACTACCACACGTTACTTAAATACATAAAACTTAATTAAATTATCCAATGGCCATAATTGCAAACTTATTTGCATTCTCCAAAAATTATGATTATACGTGAAATGGCCAAATACAAAATAGCAAAAAAAAAAATCATCTTCAAACATCTTTCAATTTTGAGGTGGATTGGCATCCGTCGGTTTTTTTCCATGACCTGAAAAAAAAATATATATAGTAGGGAGAGCTATATGCTCAGTAGGTGACACTTAAGACATGCGTCTTGGGTCCCCGTGAATCCAATCAAAGTATAGGCCAATGGGAATTAGGGAGCATGCAACATAGGGGACTAATATAACATTCCAACCAAATTCGAATACAAAGAATGTAATGCCGTGGAATGCGAATGCATGCCAATGTCACTGTCACGCCCCGAAAATTCTAATAAAATCCTCAATTTATACACAATCGGATACATCAAAATACACACAGGATTACAGAAAAATGCCCTCTTTTATACAACGTCGATTTCCTCAAATATACAAAAAAAAAATTCTCCAAATAAAAAAAATAAATCCTCCACGCCGACTCTTCATCCTAAGCCCGTATCTACGATCCCCGTCCATCTTCGGTACCTGAAACTGGAGAGTGGTGAGACAAAAGTCCCAGTAGGAAAAATCATAACAAGAATTCCATGGAGGTTTAATAAAACAGCTTTACAACATAAGTATATACATTTAATACATAGGCATTTAATTAAAAACATTTAACAAAAACATTAAAGCAAAACCTCTCCATGCCATTCATGATATAGAGAACCCTACGCTGAAAAAAAATTATGGATCATCAAATCTCCAAGCTTCCGTTGCACCCTCTGCAACTCTCAACTCACTCACTGTCTGCTCAAATCTCCGTATCGGCTCACTCTATTTTTTTCTATCTTCTCTGCCTCAACTTCATTCACAATATAACACATTAAATAGGCAATTGCACCAACTCCTCACACAAAAGCTCACCACAAAATAATGCCACGTGAATAAAAAAACAAGTCAAAAAGTGACCTGCCTGAACCCATCATTTCTATCTTCATTATTATTATACCAAAAGCTACTCCAAACCCACGTGAACAAAGCTAGAGAAAAAGTGGCCAACAAGTCTCATTAGTGGGACCTACTAAATTATTACACCTTTTTCTTCATCTCTCATCTCAATTCAGCTCCTGCTCCTCTTAATCCGACTGACACAATATATATATATATATATATATATATATATATATATATATATATAATATACAACAAAAACTAAGTCCCATTAAACCTCTGGGACCTGCGAAAATGCCACCATCATCATTTCCAATTCCATTTCTCCTCCTATCTCACGGCTGGAACCCATCCAACAGATTACATATATATACATAAAATATATTTTATATAACAAAAATAAATCAAAATTCAAAGTACACTAACTTTAATAAATAAATAATTAATTTTAGACACTCTAAAAAATTATAAAATAATTAAATTAAAATCCCAAAAATTCGGGTCATCACAGTCACTCCCCATTTTCATTCTCAAAATCATCACTTTCAACTGTTAATACAGCCCGCCCTTTGGTGACCCCGCCGCGACACGAGAGGAGGATTGGCTAGTGTCCCTGACCCTTGGTAACCCCGCGGCGTCATTATGGGGCCCAGCTAGCTCAACCACGCTAGGGCGACTCCTTCGTCCCCTCTAGGCTATATTAACCTCCGGCCCGTTAGTAACCCCGTAGCGACCGGGTTTGCATAAAACCATTTTATCCAAAACACTTTCCCAAAATTTCCAATTTCATTTTAAAACAAATTTCTCCCGTTTCATGCAACCCAATGGTACATGTATGCATATATATTCCATACTTTCAATATTATGGCATTTAAAGAATTACAATACCCAATTAAACATATATCATGTTCAACATTTCTAGAAAGGTCATCAACATAATAAACACAACAAAGCATCATCTAGACATACTTTTCACATAGAACAAGTTATATTCAAGATTGTGAAATTCTCTAGACATCACTTACACAACATTAAAACAATTAATTCTCAATTTAAGTATGTTTATTACACAAAGAAGATAAAATTCACAAAAGAGCAAGAACATCATGAATTAAGGGTCCCTACCTCAAGTTTGCACCAAAACCCTAAAGATGGGTCTCAATTTCAAATTCCCTAGGGAGGCTCAAAGCTGGAATTGATGGTACTCATGCGTAGAGCTTGTCGTGCTCTCCGTTTTGCCTCAAACGGCTCTTAAAAACTCCAAGAATTGAAGAAGTTACCGAGATCTAAAGTTTGCTTCTCAAATGGAAGGAAGAAAGAAATGGAAATGAGAGAG